CCTGGGGCACGGGGGATGCTGATGGCTTTTGGGGCTGCGGTCATGGCCCCGGGGTGCAGGGCCATGCTGACGGGTGCCTGCCCTGTCCAGACGGCGGCTTGTACACAGCCACACGCTACGAGTTTCGGAGCCTCCCTGACATCCGGAGGAACCTGCACCAGCGGCCACTGAAGACAGAGGAGTCCCCACTGCACTGGCTGAATGGTGAGACCTCCCCGTCCCCACCCAGGGCCGGCATCATGGACTGTGGGACACCGTGCATTGCCTCAGGGAGCAGGGGTGGGGGCTGAGGCCCTGCGTGGTGTGCCATGAGGGGAATTTGAGGCAGGGAAGGATTTTCCATCCCATGGCGTGTCCCCAGTCCCCACCTCTTGCTCTCCATCCCCCAGATGCTGAGTTTGTGGCCTCTGTGCTGGTCCGGGAGAGCAAGGACAGCCCCGTGGGGGATGATGACAAAATCTACTACTTCTTCACGGAGCGGGCGGGCGAGGAGACCACATCCTTTGTCGATAAGAGCCAGGTGGCCCGGGTGGCCCGGGTGGCCCGTGTCTGCAAGGTAGGGATGTCCCTGGTCACAGGGAGCCAAGTGCTGCTTCTCCCAGTGCAGGGGCTGTGTGCCTGCACCTTGGGGGAAACTGAGGCACAGGCAGAGGGGGACACATGCCCCCACCAGCCTGTGCAGAAATGCTCCCTGCACTCTCCAGAGCGATGTGGGGGGGAAGAAGATCCTGCAGCGCAAATGGACGACGTTCATGAAGGCACGCCTGGTCTGCTATATCCCCTACTACGAGGTGCTGCGCAGCGTCTGCAGCCTGGACGGGGGCGGCTGGGCCAGCACTGTCTTCTACGCCGCCTTCACCCTCTCGGCGCAGTGGTGAGCGGGGCAGCAGCCAAAACGGCTGGGCCTAAAAGTCTGCGGCACAGGGGGACCAGCAATGCTCGAGGGGACACGCAGGCGGGCGCTGAGCACCTGGGGGTGCGTCAGTGGGGAGCACCCATGTGTCTGCCCAGGCTCAGGCAGGGCTCTGCCCCCCAGGAGGACCATGGAGGCCTCAGCCGTGTGCCGCTACAGCATCTCGGCGGTGCAGCGCGCCTTTGAGGGGCCCTACATGGAGTATCAGGATTCAGCTCGCAAGTGGTCCCGCTACGACGGCGCGGTGCCCGAGCCTCGGCCTGGCTCCGTGAGTGCCTGGGGGCATGGGGCGGGGGGCAGCCGCATTCCCCCCTGACGGGAAGGGCTACAACTCTTCACAGGACCTGCCCAACAGCGTCCTGGACTTTGTTAAGCTGCACCCACTCATGTTCGAGGAGGTGAAGCCAGCCGGTGGGGAGCCGCTGCTGGTGAAGAAGAGCGTGGTGTACAGCCGGCTGGCCGTGGACAGGGTGCGGGCCCTCAATGGCCACTTCTACGATGTGCTCTTCATGGGGACGGGTGAGTGTGAGATGAGTTTGCTGGGTCTCTGCTGGGCAGGATGGACACCCCACACTCCCTCCTGACCCCCTGCTCTGCTCTCCAGGGGACGGCTGGATCCACA